GGTTCCTTATTTTCAAAAGCCAAATCTCAAGTGCTCAATAGTCACATGTGGCTAAGGATTACTGTATGGGCTATCACAGGACATTTCTATCATTACAGGAAGCTCTGTGAACAATACTCATAGTAAATAAACCTGGAATATCTATTTCATCCAGCTAGGGAATACAAGATAGTCACACAGGCCTCATGAGTGATAAATAAAGAATAAAAATGGAAGCCATACAAATCTGAAAGGCTCCATCTGCCAACATTGGCACTTGTTACTCTGAACCCAGAACATATCCAGGTATTTAAGACATGACCACAGAGAGCTAAGGGACTCTCAGATTCCTGAAGACCCTGCATTTTGAGGCTGCTTCCTGTGTGTTTCCTTCATTCATGATTAATAAAGTTTGGGTGACTTTGCTGATGCATGCTTGTTTCATATCACAAGTCATAGTCTTGGGCTGTATTGCAGGTTAAAATCTATGATTGTGGAATAGTACTCAATTGAAAACCACTAGATTGTATGGTTAACCTAAAATTTATTTAGCCTCTATTGAAAAACATATGGGTTGCTTCAAATGTTTTGGTTTCATAAATATGAGTGTCCCTGGAAAGAATGCTCATGTACATAAATCTTTTGTAGATTCAAGTTATTCATCTGAAGGACAGAATGATGGAAGTGGTTTTGCGGAGTCATAGGTGGTGAATATTTATAATCATAGTAGATATGGCAAGTTACCTTTCTAAGAATTATAGCAATATATCCTCTCTCTAATAGTAAAGTAAAGGCTCTTTTATCCATATTAGTCCCATCACAGGATACTATTTGTCTTATTGATTTTTGCCAATATGATAGTTTTTGCTTGCTTTTTCTTCATCATTGGTGAGGCCAAGGATCTATTTACATTAACTGGCTATCTGAAGATCCATAAAATGCCTTTCATGGCCTTTTTATACATGTTGCCGTTTTATGTATCAATGTCTACAAGCTAGTTTCTCTTGTGCTGATTGGTTTGTAGGAAGTATTGGTTTACTGTGGTTACTTTCATTTTATGTGCTAGAAATATTTGTCGTCCTCAAACCATCACCCCACTCCACCCCCAGCAATTCTCTTCACTACTTCTGCCTTTTAATGTGGTTTCAGATGTATGTTGTCACTCATAAATTTATATGATCAAATCTGTCAGTCTTTTCCTTTAAGCTTCCTTGCTTTTACTACTTTCTTAAGAAATTTTTCCAATCTAAGATATAAACACAATTCTTTTGTATTTTCCTTTTAAATCTTTAGTATTTTTATTTTTTACATATAAAATTGGAATCTTTACCTTTGTATATAGTGAGATAAGGCTCTAACAATTTTCTTGCAAATACTCATAGTCAATTGTTTCAGTGCCATTTACCAGAAAAATCACCTTTTCTCTAGTGATTTGAAATGCTACATTTATCATGTATTGATACCTTATAATCTGATTCTGGACTCTATTTTGTTTTAATTAGCAATTTACCTATTGTTCTCTTTTCTAGATTACACACAGAGCCTTGAGGAAATTCAGGGCTCCAGTTTTAATGAAAGCTTCTTATCATTATCAGTCAAGGCCAGAGGCAGGGTCTGAGCAAACATGTATTGGGGCATACCATATGTTTTGCAAACCACTTCTGTTAAGGAGCAATGCTATAAGTTCCTCAATAGTGGTGTTATCTTTGGCACATGGCAGAACACAAAGTAAATATTTGTTGGATGTGTTAATATAAAATATTGAGCTTAGTTTACTCAGATAAAAGTTTATAATTTAAAAGTCATAATCTGACTGCTATCAAGTCTGATTAACAATAGATTCTAGAAAGGACAAATGATAGTTTGTCTTTGTGAAGGAATACTACAACTTCACTGAAGCTACTCAAATAGTTTATCTCCCCAAAACAATGGTACAGTGCATTTGACAGGCAGTCATAGTGCTGGCCACTCCCCTCTCCCACTCAGCAAGAGAACTATTTACATGCTTGTTACCTTCTCCTCAAAATTCCTACCAGAGCATAACATTCCCATCTTTCCATCACACAGCACACAATCCTACACCTCTATTAGAATAAATGTTCTGCATTAGAACAAACCATCCCACCTTACTCAATAATTTTTAGTACTATTTGTTATTGTTATTTTTATTATTAGAGAGACAGACAAAAAACAAAGAGCTCCCTACTGACTGCTTCGCTCTTCAAATGCCCTCAATGTCTGCTGCTGGGCCACAGCTGGAGTCAGAAGCCAGGAACCCAATCCAGGTTTCCCACATGGGCAGCAGGGACCCACAGATCTGAGCCTTCACCTGCTACCTCCCAGGGTCTGCACTAGCAGGAAATTGCAATCAGGTGCCAGAACGAGGAATTGAACCCAGGTACACTGCTGTGGGATGCAGGCATGTTAACCTTCTAGAGGCTAAATGCTTGCTCCACTCAAAAACTTTTTATTATTTCCCTTCCCTAAGCTATTCCTCTATTCTAGATCATTCTCATAATTGTAGATACCTTCATCTTAGAAACAAACAAATAAAAAAAAACCTCATTAGCCCACATCATCCCTCTCCAGCTACCAAAATATTTCCCTTTCCCCTCTACTGCAAAATTGCTTTCAAAAGTGCCTGTATGGGGCAAGTGTTTTGATGCAGCTGTTAAGATGCCACTTGGGATGGCTGCATCCCATATCAGACTGCCTGATTTGAGTTTCTGCTCTGCTTCCCATCCAGCTTCCTGCTAATGTGCATCCCAAGAGGCAGCAGGCGATAGGTCACATACTTGGGCCCTTGCCACTCATGATGGAGACCCTGAATGAGTTTCAGGCTCCTGAGTTTGGTCTGGCCTAGCCCCAACTGTTACGAGTATGTGGAGAGTGAACCAGCAGATGGAAGATCTCTCTCCCCTCCCTTCCTCTGTCCCTCCCCCTTTCCCTCTCGCTCCCCCACTACCTCTCCCTCTCTGTGTGTCAGTGTGTCTCTCTGCTTATTAAATAAAACTTTTGAAAAAGAAAAAGTACCCATACAACCCACTTTTTTTTTTCATTTCCGCTCTTCATCCACCGAACCTACTTCAATCAAGTTTTATTCCTCTGAATTTGTTGTAACTGGGGTCACCAGTAACCTCCATGTTATTGAAAGCAACAGATACTTCTTAGTGTACATCTTATACCCTTATCAGCAACATTTAGACCAGATTACTCTGATCTTAGATAATTTCTTTACTTGGAATTAAGGACATCAGTTCTCATATTTTTTTCTACTTCACTGACTGCTCCCTCTCAGTCCTCACCTCTGATTTCCATGTAAAGCTGTGGCCCAGGGCTCAGTCCCTGAAACACCTGTCTTCTGTAATCACACTCACTGTCCAGGTCATCTCATCTAGTCCCATGGCCCTAATTATCTTGGAGCCTCATTCATTTTTATCTCCATATACAACGCCAGCCTTAAATTTAAACTCATTTGAACTACAACTTGAACATCTTCACCTGGCTGTCTAATCAATATATCAATATCAGCATTCCAAAATAACAATTAAATACAACTACAACAACAACAAAACCTTGTTTTTTCTACAGTATCCACCCATTCAGGTACCACCCTAGTTAAGTATCCATTAAGTCCTTGCATCAGTTACACTGGGAATCTTCAAGCTAGTCTCTACTTCTATTCTACCACATTCTGTCTCCCTCAGTTCAGTTCTCCACAAGTAGCTCCCATGATCCATTGTTTTAAGGTTTTAATTTATTTATTATTTCCTATTTATTTGAAAGACTGACACAAAGAAAGGTAGAGACAGAGGGAAGTCCTCCATCTACTGGTTCCCTTCCCAAAAGCCCACAACAGTCATGGCTGGCTCAGGTTAAAGCCAGAAGCCTGGAACTCAATCTAGGTCTCCCACATGGGTGGTGCGGATCCATTTGGGCCATTAGCAAGAAGCTGGAATTGGAAGTGGTACTCTGATGATATGGACTGCAAGTGTGCAAAGCAATGTCTTAACCACTGTGCCAAATCTGTGACCCTCTAATGGTCCTTTTAATTTATGAGCCAGACTAAGCAACTCTTTCATTCAAAACTTTTAAACTGCTTCCCATTCATTAGAATAAAACCCAGTCTTCCCACAACCTATAAATTCTTCTAGGCGCAACCTATTTGTCTAGCCTTATTCCTTAACACTCACTTGCTCTTTCCCAGCAAAACCAAACTGTCCTATAAATAAGTCAATAAAATGGTGATCTGTTCTTCTTCATGTACTTATTATATTAAGCTAATTTCTACTTCAGGCCTCATATATTTGCTCTTCCCTTTGCCGAATACATCACATCTGTAGATATTTGCACAGTGTGATTCTCTTCAAGTCATTGCCCAAATGTTAACTTCTCTTTGTTTCTCTTACATTAGTTTTCTATATTATACTTAATACTACCCTACACTCTATAGTATACTGGTTTATTTATTTATTTATTTGAGAGGTAGAGTTACACTGAGAGAGAGAGACAGAGAGAGAGCTCTTCAGTCTGCTGGTTCACTCCCCAAATGGCCGCAACGGCTGGAGCTGGGCTGATCAGGAGCTTCTTCCTGGTCTCCCATATGGGTGCAGGGGCCCAAGCAGTTGGGCCATCTTCTTCTGCTTTCCTGGGCCATAGCAGAGAGCTGGATTGGAAGAGGAGCAGCCAGGACTCAAACCGGCGCCCATATGGGATGCCAGAGCCACAGGCGGAGGATTAACCTGGTGCTACAGCACCAGCCCCTAAAATAAACTTGTTTATCATCCAAAACCTTAATTAGATGGTAAGCTCAATGAGAGCATGGCTTTTTTTTAAATTCGCTTTTTAATCTTCAGAATACAGATCAGCGCTTTACACACAGTAGGTACTCAGAAATATTTTTTGAAGAAGTAAGCAAAGAAACAAGCACCTAAAGCACACTAAAGTTTCTTAGTGTGGTTTAATGATCCCATCTTAATATATAATATAAAAGGACAAAATTGTTTTTCAGCATCACTTACTTTTCGTTGTTTAACAGAGTCCAATTTTATAAGCCAATATGAAGCCACTTTTGTTTTATGATACTTCCAGTTATCGATGATCTATTTGGAGAAGAGAAACATTCAGACATTTAATCTAGAACATTCATCAGAAGTAATAGAGGAATAGTAAATAAATGGGTGAAAACCAATTTTACTAATTAATTTGTACAATGATAATGCTATGACTTTCAATAAACGATGCCAACTTTCATAAAAAGATTTATACAAACATTTTTAACATAGGAATGCTAGTGAAAACATCTGAATCCGAAGCTTCTCTGCATGTTGTCCCAACAACACAGTCTTCATTGTATGAAAGTCAAAAGCCTTTAGGCACATAAGGTTTAGGAAGAAATCCAAGAAACAGATTTCTACAGTGGTTCCAAGGGCTATATTCACCACATCACGCACAATAACAGAATATTGAATGATATAACATAAGGCAACCTTCATAGGATTAGGTTATTGCCATCCCTTTTTGTTTTTTGCCTATGTAAATATGTAATATTTTTGTATACATATTGTAATATATGCTGTAACATATTAAAATATTTATAACACATGGTTAATATGAAGTAAATAATCTAATGTCTGACATAATCATTAAGTATACTTTACTAATATATAATTCTTATATAAAGCCTGTCTATATTCCATCTAAAATAACTCCTTACAAATAGTGTTATTTTTCCTTCCTTTCCTCTGATCTAACAAGTAGAAGCTTACTTGCAAACAAGACACCATTTTAATTTTTCAAAAAATATATAACAATGAAGTGCATATTGGGGATTTCAGTTATGATAATGTTATGATTAATAATATAAATTGCCACTATAGATTTTATTAAACCAGCAATCTTTTTATTGTTGTTATTTTGCTTTTTGTTTGTATATATTTGCTTTAGAAAGTATAAAATAGTACCAAAAAAAATAAATAGTTCATGGCTATGATTTTTAATCCTACAGTTGGCCACTAGATGGTGCCTTCTCCTCTGGAAAAAAAAAAATATGTAGGGCTCCGAGAAAACAATATTCCATTACTGAGGAATTATCCAAGAATGATCATTTGAAAAAGATGTTTCCATGAAGAAACAGTCTGTCACCAAAAATATTTTAATAACTTAGACCAGGTTTCAGAGTTAAGAGTAAGTCATTGACTTTAATGTAAATTTTCAGATATTTTACATTTTAGAATGTTCCACTGGGTGGTGCAAATATGTATTTGCCAAGAAACACATACACACACACACATAAAATTGCACATTCGTCATTTTAAAATTTGAGTGAAAAATGTGATATTCAAGGAGTCGCATTTAAATATTCTTGACATTTTATGTCAAGGCCACAGTTTTTTCGTCACATCACGTTCTATCTTAAGTCTTAGTGAATCTTTGTAGAAGCTGGTTTAACCTGGTATTTCTTTAATCATCAAGAACAATATTTATTTCATACTAATTATCCTTACTTGATGAAGGAGTCTTGTCATTAAAATGGGACTTATACTAAAAGATATTTTGCATTGCTGATTATACATGGAATCTCACTGATCATGAATCATGATAATTAAAATAAACCCTTGTATTTTCTAAAGCTTGTAGAGGTTAAAAAGAACATTAATTAAGTTTGCTATATAATTGAGTATAAAATGTCATTGGGAAAAATAAATTTTAATGTCTTTTAAAATAACAGAGGGTATGAACTCCTTGACATTTTATATAGATCAGATACTCACATCTTCTATCAGAAGTTCTGATTCTGCATCTGATTTTCCTGGAAACCGAATCTTCATATCCTTGAGAACAATTAAGGTCTGACTTGTTAAATCATCTTCTTGTTCTTTTGTTTTCAGTCGCTGCAAAGACTCACTCTTAAATTTGAAAGAATACAGATATTTGGAGGGGGGTCTTATTTCATTGTGCCAGTATAATCTGAAAGATATTTCTAGGTAAAAATGATGTACTTTGAATTGAAAAAATAATTTCAAAGAGAGAGAAAATAACTTCTTTACATTCATGAATTCTTAGCATTGAATGGATATGAACGCCAAGAGCATCTTTCCCACTTGTGTTTGGCTCAAAATACTTAAAAATATGAGTGTTTAAAAACTACTTCCTATTTAGTTTCATTTGCTATCTATGCCTTAGTCAACTTTTTTCCTCTTCTTCCTCCTCCTCCTCTTCCTCATTTCTTCCTCTTCTTCATCCCTCATTCTCCTTTTTTTTTTTTTTTTAATGTATTTGACAGGCAGAGAGACAGACAGAGAGCTCCCACCTACTAGTTCACTTCTCAAATGCTAGGATGGAACCAGGCTGAAGTCAGGAGTTAGAAACTCCACCCAGGTCTCCCACATGGGTGGCAGGCATCCAACTACTTGAGCCATCACTGGCTGCCTACCAGGATGTACACACTAGCAGGAAGCTGGAGCAAGAGTTGGGATTCAAACCCAGCACTCCAATATGGGATGTGGGTTTCTCAACCAGCAAGTTAAACACTAAGTCAAACGCCTGCCCTAGCAAGTCTTCTTAATTTGAAAAAGAATCATTCATTGTTTTTAAGTTAGATTCACTTGCTTCTGTTTCCTAACTCTTCCCTTTGGAACCACCATCCACATTAAATAAACAAATTAAATAAATTGCTGTTTTATGTACATGAATTTAAAGCTATCTATTTGTACTAGAAGTAAGCTTGCCTGCAAAATAAATTGACTTCTTCAATACCAAATTTCTGAGACTCATTCTAAGAAGGGAATACTAAATGTTGATTCAGTATATGGGAAACATTATAAACGACATTATACTCTAAGGACTCAACATTATGCTCTAAGGATAATTTATCAATAATTCTCTAAGGAGAATTTTTCAATAATTTTAGCATATCAGTCAATAGTTCCCATTAGAATGAATTTCCCATAGAACGAATTTCCCCAAATATACAGACTGTATAGCACACTGAAAAATCATATATTTAGATGATTTTCCACACTATTATCCTACTGCATCTGCAAATGAAAAATGAAACAATGCTAATTCTCAGCGCCCACCCTCAAGTTCTGTAATACAGTGAAACATAAATGAGTGATCCAAATTCCAGGAGGCCATGAGCTGAATTACAGCAAGGAGCTTGGGTTCAGCCTGTTCTCTTCTCAGCTGATCTCCTTTGCCAAGTAGATTCTGAGTACAGTGCTTCCTGCAATCTTCAAAGGGCCAAACAGGACTTACCACCTGAGAACTGGTGGAGCTGGCATCATCACTGTGTGACAGATGCTTCATGTAGGAGGAAGCACGGTTTAGGGAATGTGACCTAGATGCGGAAGTTGGCCGTGATACAGATATCACTTGCTGAGCAGAAAAGGGGCGGCTGTCCGCACTGGTAGGTGACTGCGTAGAGATGGACCGAGGACAGCTGACGGAACGCCTCATGGAATCTAAGGATGAGGGAGAAGACAGAAAGCACAGCAGCAGTGCTAGCAGAGGTTCCCCCTTCCCTGTGTTTGGTCTATAGAAACTGAAAATAAGAACAGGTGGCAGTAGAGTGACCATAAATGTCAAGGCACAGTCATCATCATGAGAATACAAGTTTGGAATTAACTCTTCAATTTAAATAGTGAACCTGGTGCAGAATCCCCATGACGGAGAAAGAATAGCTATCTTGCAATAACAGAATAATAATAATATAAACAGTACCTTGATGTTAGGTTATCAAAACATGAACAAAAAGAACCAGAAGAAAAGATAGCTAGCATCTATGGAGCACCTGCTGTTAGCCAGGCACTGTGCAAGGTGCCACATTTTTAGCTTAGTCCTCATGGAAAGCCTCTGAATTAGGAACCACATGGTCCAGAGGCTCAGAGGAAGGACTTTCTCAAGATCACACAGCAAGAAAGTGGCCAAGCTCAGACTCAAACCCTGATTGACCAAATTACAGGTGCTGCCCTCTTTCTATAATACCATGACACCATCCCCTGGCCTTGGGATTAGATTGGTCATCTATTAGAATCTGCATCTAGGTGAGAGATTTTGCAAGATCTCAGGGAGGGGTAGAAAGCAGTCTAGAGTGTCCAGAGGGGGGGAAAAAAACATGTTATACAATATAGGGACCATTAGAAAACAGTAAGAAGGAAAATACAGATTATCCTAATAAAGTGTCAATATTTAATTAGTTGCTTTGAGAGTCCTATTAAATAGTCTTTGTATTTGTAAAAATAAAGAATTTAAAAACTTATTTTCAATTCCATTAGTAAAAGGTTTGAGTGAAGGAAGAAAACCACATGGGTCTACAGGGTTGTTATCAGAACAAATATCTGGGGGAAAAGCATAGGCCATGTCTTCCCCACAGCATACTCAAAACACTTAAGAAAGAACCAAGTGTTCCAGATTAATTTTGGTTTCTGACACAGGGAAATACATTATCATTTAATGCTATCAACATTTTAATCTGTTTTAAGATCCAATGGCCTATATATCCTTTGTTCTATATTCTTTTTGTGCTTGGGGAATTTATTAATCTCTAGTAATTAAATAATTTAATAATACTCACAAAGTCATGTTGTATAACCAAATACTTCTTTTCATTAACTGTAGAAAAAAATTAAACCTTCATAAAGGTCACAGATACAAACCTAGTAACTAGAGATGTATCTAAAAGAAATTTTGAGTAGATAATGAATCTAATTTAGGTTCTGGAGAGTATAAAAAAAATCCTCATTCTAGCCATAACTGTGTAAAAACAAGTCCATTTGTTCCAACTCTTTACTTCCTCCTGCACCGGAAATTCATACCACTTTTTTAAAGGACAATGCTTAGAGCTGGCACTGTAGTGTAGCAGGTTAAGCTAAAATCTGCAGTGCCGGCATCCCATGAGTGCCAATTCTAGTCCCAGTTGCTCTACTTCCAATCTAGTCCCCTGCTAATGTTCCTTGGAAAGCAGTGGAGGATGGCCCAAGTGCTTGTGCCCCTGCACCCACATGGAAGACTCAAAAAAGGAAGCTCCTGGGTTCAGGCTCCCAGCTTCGGATAGGCCTAGCTCCAAACATTGCCACCATTTAGGGAATGAACCAGCAGATGGAAGAGCTCTCTCTCTCTCCCTCTATAACTCTGCCTTTCAAATAAATAAATCTTTCTTTAAAAAAAATGGAAGGACACTACTTCTACTGAAAGGTTACTTAAGAAATACATCACTAATCAAGACTTTTGCTTTTTTAAATGAAGAACTGACCAGTGTGTTCAAAGGTAAAACTTCTACAAAGAAAATGCCCAAAATCAGGTGCTACTAACCATACTGTAGTTCTGTTCCCTCTGAGATATATATAGTATGATAACAGGATGGGAAGAAAATATTCTATCTCTTGTACAATTTGGGACATGCTCAATTGGACTTGCCCCAAATGGTAGAGTTAGAAACGTGCCAAGGGATTCCAATTCAATCCCATCAAGGTGGCATGTACCAATGCCAACTCACTAGTCCAAATGATCAATTTCTGTTCACAATTGATCATAATGATAGGACTAAGAGTCAAAGGGATCACACAAACAAGACTAGTGTCTGCTAATACTAACTGATAGAATCAAAAAGGGAGAGAATGATCCAACATGGGAAGTGGGATACACAGCAGACTCATAGAATGGCAGATGTCCTAACAGCACTCTGGCCTCAGAACCAGCCCTTAAGCATGTGGATCTGGCTGAAAAGCCCATGAGAATATTTCAGGCATGGAAAGCCAAGACACTCTGGAAAAAAAAAAAAGAGAGAGAGAGAGAGAGAGAGAAATGACCTAAATGAAAGATCTTTGCAAGTGAGATCCCAGTGGAAAGAACAGGTCATCAAAGAAGGAGGTATCTTTCTCTGAAGGGAGGAGAGAACTTCCACTTTGACTATGACCTTGTCTAAATATGATCAGAGTTGGCGAACTTAAAAGGCCTCCATAGCCTTGGCAGCTCATGACAAGAGCCTAGGGTGATTACTGACGCCTTAAACAAGAGTGTCAATTTGTTAAGTCAACAGCAGGAGTCACTGTACACTTACTCCTCATGTAGGATCTCTGTCCTTAATGTATTGTACAATGTGAATTAATGCTATAACTAGTACTCAAACAGTATTTTTTACTTTGTGTTTCTGTGTGGGTGCAAACTGTTGAAAGCTTTACTTAATATATGCTAAATTGATCTTCTGTATATAAAAATACTTGAAAATGAATCTTGGCTGGCGCCATGGCTCAATAGGCTAATCCTCCACCTGAGGCGCCAGCACACTGGGTTCTAGTCCCAGTCGGGGCGCCGGATTCTGTCCTGGTTGCCCCTCTTTCAGTCCAGCTCTCTGCTGTGGCCCAGGAGTGCAGTAGAGGATGGCCCAAGTCCTTGGGTCCTGCATCTGCATGGGAGACCAGGAGAAGCACCTGGCTCCTGGCTTCAGATCAGCGTGGTGAAAATATTCTATCTATTGAATCATAGCATAGTCCAATTTTCCAGTTGCATATACTGGAAATTCATACAGAATAACTAAGTAGCCAGATATACCAATGATATTTGGGTAGACTGATGAAAAATGGTTGCAACTAACATCCACAAACATGGAAAAATGTTTTCTATAGTTTTTTATATGATTACCTTATATCAAAGCAGAATATATACCATTGAAGTTACAGCAAGTTTGAATTTCCCAAGTTATCTATGAGAAAAATACTACACAGAATCTGGATTTTTTTTTCTCAGTCACCTGCATCCTCTTCAGAAACAAAACTCGAGGAGGATGCATGGCTATGGTGTTCCTTAATGTAGGATTAAAGAAAGAAAATAAAATGAAGGAAAAAGAACTCCTACTATAATCCACAGTTAATAGGAAAAGGATATATAATTGAATTAGAGTAGCATTAAAATGAGGATTTACACTTAAAACATTTTTTAAAGATTTATTTATTTATTTGAAAGTCAGTTATAGAGAGAGAGGAGAGGCAGAGAGAGAGAGAGAGAGAGAGAGAGAGAGAGATCTTCCATGCACTGGTTTGTTCCCCAGATGGCCGCAACGGCCAGGAATGTGCCAATCTTAAGCCAGGAGCCAGGAGCTTCCTCTAGGTCTCCCACGTGGGTGCAGGGCCCAAGGACTTGGGTCATCTTCTACTGCTTTCCCAGGCCATAGCAGAGAGCTGGATTGGAAGAGGAGCAGCGGGGACTCACCTGGCACCCATACAGGATGCCAGCACTGCAGGTGACAGCTTTACCCGCTACACCACAGCGCCACCCCACACTTAAAACATTTTTAAAAATCTGTATCATAGGCCGGCGCCGCAGCTCACTAGGCTAATCCTCCGCCTTGCGGCGCCGGCACACCGGGTTCTAGTCCCGGTCGGGGCGCCGGATTCTGTCCTGGTTGCCCCTCTTCCAGGCCAGCTCTCTGCTGTGGCCAGGGAGTGCAGTGGAGGATGGCCCAAGTACTTGGGCCCTGCACCCCATGGGAGACCAGGAGAAGCACCTGGCTCCTGCCATCGGATCAGTGCGGTGCGCCGGCCGCAGCGTGCTGGCCGTGGCGGCCATTGGAGGGTGAACCAACGGCAAAGGAAGACCTTTCTCTCTGTCTCTCTCACTGTCCACTCTGCCTGTCAAAAAAAAAAAATCTGTATCATACTTTAGTACACTATTTTCTGGTCTCAACTTATTAACCTATTGATCTGAGCACAAAGAACAATCTCAGAACTGTAAAGAAATCTAGCAATTTGTTCTCTACTCTCTCCTTATGCCCCTTTCCATTCATGATATTATGAATGAACCCATTATCTAATAGAAGAGGGATTTTAAAACTGACAAAACATAGGGCCGGCAGCATGGCATACCAGGTTAAGCCACCACCTGCAGCAACACTTCCCACATAGGTGCCGGTTTGAGTCCCAGCTGCTCCACTTTTGATCCAGATCCCTACTCATGTACTTGGGAAAGCAGTGGAGAATGGTCCAGGTAGTTGGGCCCCTGCACCCACATGGGAAACCTGGAAGAAGCTCCTGGCTCCTGGTTTAGACCTGGCCCAGCCCAGGCCATTGCAGCCATTTGGGGAGTGAACCAGTGGATGGAAGACCTCTCTTCCTATAACTCTGCTTTTCAAATTAAAAAAAAAAAAAACTTAAAAAAAATAACTGGGGTAGGAAAATGTCCCCTTCTGAAGCAGAAATAATATATGTATACTTACACAGACACAATGAAAGCACTTAAGAAATCCTTAAGAGTTAAAAGAAGCAATTGAAAAGTAGTTTACAAACCCTGGAATAGGAGCTCTCTAAAAATCTCTTGAATGAGTAAATAAATAAAAGAAATGGAACATAGCACATCATGTCCCTTCCAAATACATAAACCCTCAATGATAGGAATAAAAGTGGCATTACAAAATTCTCTGTTGGTTGGATCTACACTCCTGATGTATTTTGTCATAAGCACAGGGGACCAGTTTTAAAGTATCTCCATTATTAGGGAAGCTAGTATGTTCAACCACTGCTCAAGAACACTGTTTATTGCATTACTGAACTGGTCCCTAGACCTCTAGGGCAACAGAGCACAAGGCAAACAGAGCTAGAGAGACAGGGCTTTTCTGAAGTCCAGGACTGAAGGCAATGTCAGGAAGGAGTTTTCCAAGTGAGTCCAGGCAAACTCCAACAGCACACTGCACACCTGGCGCTGAAGAAGAAACAGAAGAGAGGAGAAAGGAAAAGAGAATGTGTACGTGCACAGAAATAAAGGCAGGCAGAAAGAGAGAAAAGCAGGCAGGAGGGGAAGTTAGACAAGCTGGCTCACTGCGGTCCTAAATACTTCCTGCGCACCAAAATCCCTGACGTAAGCGCCTGCCTGAGATGAGATGAAAATAGGAGGGAACAAAACTTCAACTATTTCTCAATTGTGTGACTCTCAAATACATTCAAGTCAAATGCCTAGAAAGATAAATACATTTTAAAAATAGGTGATGGTATAAAACAACTCAGGTGACAGAGCTGGGCATGGATTGAGAGGAAGGTCTGAAGGGCTTCAAAAAGCTCCCGGGAAATTCGCATGATCTTTTGTTTGCACGCATCCTTGAACTTCTTGATGCCTCCTACTTTTGCCTTAAGAGAGAAAGTCCTCAGCAGATCAGCCAGGAGGCACATATGTTATAAAAGCCAGGAAAAATCTGTCACTGAACAAAAAACCATGAAATACAGAAGAGTGGATCCTTCCTTCAACCCTCTTGTTTCTATTTGCAGGACCTGCCAGGGACTGCGGGCTGTGCCTGAGTCTCGTTAGGGAAGGAAGTGGGATAGAAGCCTGGTCTCCTCATATAAGATGAGGATCCAGTTGGTCCAGCGACCTTTGACTGAGCTCAACAGATTTCAGATTTATAATTCTTCATATGTCAACTAAATTAGAAGAAGCTGACTTACTGGATTGTTGAATCAATTTGCATTGGTTGGAGGGTTTAAGATTATATGTAACTTGTTTGTCTCCTTTTTTATTTTCATACTCTTCTTTTTCATTTTCATCAGATTCTGAAGAGCTGCTGCTACTTTCATAACTGCTGTCACTGCTGTGGTGCTTCTGTCTTTTCATTATTTCAGTGCTCTCGGGCATAGAACACAGCGGCTGAAACAGAGGAAGATGTGTTATTCTGTTAGAACTATCTAAAAAGGCTTCTTAACACGGTTAGTTACTACTCTTAATTTCTCCCCATACACTTGCTGCCTTTCACTGCAGGCTTAAGCTACATTGTTGCTTAGCCTGTCACCCTATTTACAGTTCTGTGTCTGTAAAATATTGTTTCCTAAATGATACAGCACAGTCATGATAAGGAAAATGCTATTTCCACATGACTGAAATAAAGCACCACAGTATTGATAAATAAGGAAAAACAAGACAAAGGAAACATATCAGAGATAAAACAGAAAATTCTTAAGCATACTCAGGTTTTCTTCATTTCACATATAAAGATAACTCATCAAGACTCAAGAGAGCCGGTGCCGCGGCTCACTAGGCTAATCCTCCGCCTAGCGGCGCCGGCACACCGGGTTCTAGTCCCGGTCGGGGCGCCGGATTCTGTCCCGGTTGCCCCTCTTCCAGGCCAGCCCTCTGCTGTGGCCAGGGAGTGCAGTGGAGGATGGCCCAGGTGCTTGGGCCCTGCACCCCATGGGAGACCAGGAAAAGCACCTGGCTCCTGGCTCCTGCCATCGGATCAGCGCGGTGCGCCGGCCGCAGCGCGCCAACCGCAGCGGCCATTGGAGGGTGAACCAACGGCAAAGGAAAACCTTTCTCTCTGTCTCTCTCTCTCACTGTCCACTCTGCCTGTCAAGAAAAAAATAAACAAAAAGAAGTGACTCAAGAGATACACTTTTGTTGTATCATTAATATTCAGTAACTTAATAAATGTGTACATATGTATATATTTATATATATTTCTGTGTTTGTGTGTGAAAGAGACAGAGAGAGATAATAAGAGAGAAAGGAGAGGGAGATGGGGAGAAGGAAGGGCAAGAGGGGACAAAGAAAATAAGAAAGCAACAGCCAGCAAAGCCACCATAAATAAGGCCACGTCTTAAAACAGAGCCTGAGAGCCCATGCACTCAGAAAAGGTGTAGCAAGAAGAAAGATATCCCTCATATTGACAATTTGCTGTGGATATTGATGGAACATTTTTAAAAAGTCATTAAATACCCACTTTTCCAACTTGTCACAAAAGACATCTTTTCTCAGAGGAGTCCTAAATCTGACACACAGGGAGAGGGTCTGCCTTAACACCGCTCTTCAGTGCCCATGGTACATTTTTTTTTAAATGACATAATGTGAAAGTCAATGGAATAAATATTTTTATGAGGATAATTCCTATGGGTAAATCTGTAAAGATTCAAAATGCCATGTACTGATGCATCAATCTGTCATTAGAATCACTTGTTTCCAATCACCCCAATTAATGTACTTCCAATGATGCCAACTAAAGGATTAACAGAGAAGAGACACAGGACAGCTTAACTTCAGAAAGAAAGTGCAGAGCCAAGAGAAGGACAGTTTTGCTACTCAGTAATTTTAAGAGACTATTTATTACATACACCATATGTCTCATATTCCTACTGGGAGAGGTTCCTATAGTTGTACACTAGTTGTTTCTTCTCTGTTAAACCAAATAAAAATGTTTTGATGTTAGCATACACTATAATGAAATCCTTGGATACCATGGGATTTCACTGAAAGATGGTATATCCTCTAGTGTAACACTGTAGGATGAAAGATAGAGAGAAATAGCATTTCAGGAAGTGCCTGGAAAACACAATATGCCAAAATATGATCTTTAAGTTACAGACTTTGCAAAGGATGAAAAATAACCAAAGCAAGAAAGTAGTTTAATACACTAAGGTATCAAGTTGTGTTTAAAAGTATGTTTTCCTTTTGATGGGATAATATTTACTGAGTACTAAGAATGATCAAAGAGATATGCATAAAAACATTTACCAGTAACATAATCATCAAACATTTTGACAGTCTTGGGGAATATGAATTCTAGAGGAAGGATGTTTCTTCAGAAGTTTAGCATACCCAGAAGAAACAGTGGCACAATCAGGCTTGCTAGTGGTGCCTTCCTTCATGTAGCAAACAGCTTTAAGGATTCTTAAGGAGCTTGACTACATAATGAGTTATTCGACCCTATAAAGAATCACAAGGGGAAACGGATAGCTGAACCTTGTGTCATATATGCATTTGGGACTTTTTGACCAACAAACTGTTCAAGCAATAATTAATTAGAAGTCACAGCATCATAAACTCTAAACAGTGCCTTAATTAAAGAATCAGATTTGTAAGCTGGCATGAGTTGTGACACAAACCATACTACTTTATCTTTATGTTCCATCTTATTATAAAATGTATATACAAAAAATGTCCAAGAATCTACCACCCAGCTTTTAAAAAAGAACACTGCTAATACTTTATGTGCTGTTTACTCTTCATGTAGCTGATATTTTTTAGACTCCCAAATAACTGAAAAGTTAGTACAAACACTAGTTTTATTAAACCCTGATGATCTCCTGTTATTCTTCTACCAGTAAGACATAGGAAATCAATGTTTGGCATGTGATATCATCCCTCTAAAAAAGGGAGGGCTCCTTTGAAGTTTGGTTTACTTTAAATTCTTATAAATTTAAAGTCAAATGTTATAAAAATGCTTCTAATTCAGACTGGATTGTGTTGCTGTCAACCACTTTGAAATATTACTGGCTTTAACAATTACATTAATTTATCCAATTAATTTGATTTCAACTAATGCATTACTGCACCTCACTACTTGCCCAGAATGAGTGTGATCAAAGAAAATACAATGTGACTTCAGCCCTCCAAGAGGTTTTACATTTGTTTGGATGACAAGCCTTACATAAATGAAACAAAGGAAAATCTTAGTGTAAGGCTGCCATTTGCTATTCTGCTATGCACAGTGCCCCACAGGTGGTCTCATGTCCAATTTTCCAAACTGAAATAATTAATATACAAAGCTTAGAAATCTCCCAGTGTTTCCCAAATGAAAGTCATGACTCATGAAGTTACTGACTTTTACAGATACTCTAACTATAGCTTTTCCAGAGATTATCAACTACATATGCCACAGTGCCTCAAAAACTACAGCACATATTTCAGGAGAGTATCTGACAAACAAGATTTCTACCAGACTCAGCCTGCCTTCTTTCATCCTCTCAGACCCTTCTACCCCATTCATCCTATACATTTCATTACAACATCTCATGTCTTTGCCTTGAATATATCCTTTATTCTGAATATCCTCCCATCCCTCTGAAATGTTTACAGTACTATTAACTTTTCAAAATGCAGGTCAAAGCTAAGCCTTTTTGAAGCCACCTCCCTCCTACCAATCCCATTCTTCTCTATGCTGTTATAGCACACTATACAACCTTTATTACAGTATTTGTCAAATTGCAACCTACTTTTTTGTTACATATCTCATCCACTAGCCACTAGCACCTGCGGGCATTTAAAGAAATTTAACCACTGAATTTTGAGAGCTTATGCCAGATGCTGTACTAGGTGCTGGAGATGAAAAGATGAAAACCCACTTCCTACCTTTAAGGCATGTATGACCTCATTTGTATGATCAAACATACAAATAATGATCTGTTACAACCGCTCTGTAGAAGTGTTATTTATGGTACAGCAAAAGAAGGAAGGGAAGGAAAATATCTAAGGCTAATGGGGAATGAGAAAAGGCTTCACAAGGGCAGAAACAGCACACTGGGTTAGGAAGGGGCCTCTAAGCAACCAAGCAACATATCAGTAATATTTATTTATCAGGTAGTATTTCAGAGGCATGGAAAAGCAGGAAAGCATCATGTGCCTAATGTGGAAATAGAAGGTAAAAGGAACAGAATGAAAATGATTTTCCAATCCATCTCTTTCCTTCTCTACTCCCTACACTACTAGTAAGAACTTCAGCCTATACTAGAACATACGGATGTGACCAACACAGAGCAGATGCAGATAAAGCACACACCTGCTCATTTTTGCCTACATGACAGCCTTCTATTGGTTCCTAGTGACTGTGCCTATTTTAACTGATACATTATCAATGTTTCTAGGTCAGCAAAAAGTAGGGTTCTCAGTAAGAGACTCTGAAGTCATGATTTGCCTTATCCATAATGCCACATCTTTCTTTGCTAATTATCTATATAGATATCTGAGAAACACTTTATACTGAGTGAGAATAAGGGTGCTACTTCTAGGTCTATCTTGGCCCTGATTCGAAGGGCTTTTGCTAGCATGAGGGGAAAAAAATGAAGGAAACTAACAAAATGAAACTTCTCATGAGTAAAAGATAATACCATCTTGTCAATTCTACCTTCACTGGACACACAGCACCCACGGTTTCTCGTAAGTGTCACAAGTCTTCCATATAAAGAGAAACATCAAGGAAAAAAATCAACTGTATTTAGTACCCTCTACTTGGATACTAAGGAAGGGAGAGTCAGTATACCTTTGGTCCTCGAGGCTTGGTAGTTTTTCCCATCAACTTTTCATCATCAATTTCACATTGTTCCAGAAGATCCAAAATGTCTTCCTCCTTCAAAAAATATTTTAATTAAAATAGTGATCACTAATATTCTCTAGAATTTTTTCCAAGTTCATTATTTATTCCACAAATTAATGTATATGAATTCCTGAAACACAGATCAAAGATGGAGAAATAAAGGGTCATGGAAAACTCTCTTGAAGAAATATCCACTAAAATCTGGTAATACAAAAAATAATATACTTGGAATCTACTGTGAATTAATAATCGTGAACAAATGTATGCTTATGATCCACTGTACCTTTAAAATTATAGTGTACCATTAAAATTGCAGTGTACAATACATCAATAAGTTAACCCATGGAATACTTTAAAATTTCTGGAAGTCCATTCTAATTTTCCATACTACAAATTTATCAATAATTTCTATACCAGTTAGCACAAAATAATATTAATACTCCAGACACAAAACTAATCAGTGGCCTAAGAGTTTCTATTAGAAAGAATCAAAGGTTTGTGTTTAGTTAATGGGCACTATTTAACTTTTGAACAAGAATATTTTTAGAACACTATGAAAGCTGTTCAAGTCATTGCACAAATTCACAGGTGCCCTAATACCTTCTCTCGCACTCCTCTAGAGTCATTCTGAAGTAAAGGAAAAGTTACAAAAACATACATCCCACGGAAATTGAACAAACCAGAGCAATGGGAGCACAACAGTTAGGCATAAAGAGTTGTAATCAACTACTTCATTGACTTATTTTTTCAATCTATCAAATATAAATCTTTATTTATATAGTTATGATTTATGCTTCAATGTTACTGTACAAAAGGGCTTGGGGGAAGGGTCTTTGGCCTAGCAGTTAAGATCCCAATGGGAGTTAGAAACGTGCCAGGGGATTCCAATTCAATCCCATCAAGGTGGCATGTACCAATGCCATCTCACTAGTCCCAGTGATCAATTGCAATTCACAATTGATCACACTGATAGGTCTAAGAGTCAAAGGGATCACACAAACAAGACTAGTGTCTGCTAATACTAACTGATAGAATCAAAAAGGGAGACAACGATCCATCATGGGAAGTGGGATACACAGCAGACTCATAGAATGGCAGATGTCCTAAACAGCACTCTGGCCTCAGAATCAGCCCTTAAGGCATTCAGATCTGGCTGAAGAGCCCATGAGAGTATTTTAGGCATGGAAAGCCAAGACACTCTGGAAAAAAAAAAAAAAAAAAAAAAAGGAAGACCTAAATGAAAGATCTCTGTGAGTGAGATCCCAGTGGAAAGAACAGGTCATCAAAGAAGGAGGTACTTTTCTCTGAAGGGAGGAGAGAACTTCCACTTTGACTATGACCCTGTCGGAATAAGAGCGAAGTTGGCAAACTCAAAAGGCTTCCATAGCCTTGGCAACTCATGAAAAGAGCCTAAGGAGATTACTGACTCCATAAACAAGAGTGTCACATTGTTAAGTCAACAACAGGAGTCACTGTGTACTTACTTCTCATGTGGGATCTGTCCTTAATATGTTGTCCAATGTGAAGTAATGCTATAACTAGAACTGAAACAATATTTTATACTTTGTGTTTCTGTGTGGGTGCAAACTGATGAAATCTTAACTTAATATATACTGAATCAATCTTCTGTATATAAAGATAATTGAAAATGAATCTTGATGTGAATGGAATGGGAGAGGGAGCGGGAGATGGGAGGGGTGTGAGTGGGAGGGAAATTATGGGGGGGGGGGGCAATGTAATCCATAAACTGTACTTTGGAAATTTATATTTACTAAATAAAAAAAAAAAGATCCCAATTGGAACACTTGCATCAAATATCAGACTGCCTTGATTCAAGTTCCAGTTCCACTTCTGATTCCAGCTTCCTGTTAATGTGCACCCTGGGAGGCAGCAAATGATAACTTAAGTAGTTGGGCTGCTGTCACTCATGTGGGTAGTGACCCTGATTAAGTTTCTGGCTCCCAGCTTCACTCTGGCCCAGCCCCAGACTTTGAGGACATTTGTGGAGAAAACAGTAGATGATCTCTCTCTCTCTCTCTCTCTCTCTCTCTCACACACACACACACACACATACACACCCCTTAATAACAACCAACAACAATAAAAATGTTTTTTTAAGAAACTAGAAATTTAACTATGCAGTAGTAGTTTTAAAATAAGTTGCTCTATGTCCTAATCTAAGGAATGTTAGCTATTCAAATACCAAGACTCTTGATATAAAGTTTTGATTAAGCAATTATCCCTCAATGAATTCCACATATAGCAGTATGAGATAGTTAAAAAGAAACTCAAGGATGTCTGCTTCTGTTTAGGAGAAAGAGAATAATAGACAATATGTTCATCCTAGTAACTAAAAAATTCAGATGAACTAAACAATCCTATTTTTGCAAAACTTGAGAAATCTGTAGATAAAAAGCAACATAAATGAATTAAATTCTCGAGAGGGACAAGTTCTTCCTAGGTGAGCAGATACAAGTGGCCATTTTGTACTTTCAGGTTATCTATCAAGTCAGAACATAGGTGGGCAGAGATCAAGTCTGTGATAGGCGGAGACATTCTACTGGAATAAAGAGGATCCTTGAAATGCTAGCTTTTGGAACCCCAAGTTACTATTTTAAGAGATCTGGCATAGAGAGAAAGAGGCATCCACCCATCTTTCAGAAGATCCAGCTATCTTATCTGACATGGCAGCATGTGACTGAAGCCTCCTTGCACTTCTAATTCCAGCTGAGTGTGAGAAATTCTGCTTTCAGATAAATGCAGCTACATGACTGATCCCAGGCAAGACTACAAAAGAACCACTCAGCTGTGCTCAGCCAAGCAAATAAATGAAGTGGTTTGTTATGCTTCAGTAGATAACTGAAAGATCTTTCATTAAGGTAAACAGATTAGTTTGTGTATATATGTGTATTTTTTAACTACTCTTCTCATATGCCATGTCTATGTAGTATCAAGAAAAAATCCCATATATTGTTAGTTACAATTCAAATAAGGAGCATTGCAAACCACTAGGTTAATTCAATCCTCTTCTTTATCCAGTTACTTATACATGTTCATATAATAAAATATGCTATTAAAATATATTGAGTTTCCAAGGCTATGGAAGCCTTTTGAGTTCACCGACTCTTATCTTGTTTAGACAAGGTCATATTCAAAGTGGAGGTTCTCTCCTCCCTTCAGAGAAAGGTACCTCCTTCTTTGAAGACCTGTTCTTTCCACTGGGATCTCACTCACAGAGATCTTTCATTTAGGGTTTTTTTTTTTTTTCCCCCAGAGTGTCTTGGCTTTCCATGCATGAAATACTCTCATGGGCTTTTCAGCCAGATCCGAGTGCCTTTAGGGCTGATTCTGAGGCCAGAGTGCTGTTTAGGACATCCGCCATTCTATGAGTCTGCTGAGTATCTCGCTTCCCATGTTGGATCACTCTCCCCTTTATTTATTCTATCAGTTAGTATTAGCAGGTACTAGACTTGTTTATGTGCTTCCTTTGACTCTTAGTCCTTTCATTATGATCAATTGTGAACTGAAATTGATCACTTGGACTGGTGAGATGGCATTGGTACATGCCACCTTGATGGGATTAAATTGGAGTCCCCTGGTATGTTTCTAACTCTACCATTTGGGGCAAGTCAGCTTGAGCATGTCCCAAATTATACATCTCTTCCCTCTTATTCCCACTCTTATGTTTAACAGGGATCACATTTCAGTTAAATTTCAACACTTAAGAATAACTGTGTATTAATTACAGAATTAAACCAGTCATATTAAGTAGAACAGACAAAAAAACTACTAAGAGGGATAATGTATGGTGCATAGGGAGATTACTGATGCCATAAACAGGAGTGTCAATTTGTAAAGTCAACAACAGGAGTCACTGTGCACTTACTCCCCATGTAGGATCTCTGTCCTTAATGTGCTGTACATTGAGACTTAATGCTATAATGAGTACTCAAACAGTATATTTTGCTTTGTGTTTCTATGGGGGTGCAAACTGTTGAAATCTTTACTTAATGTATACTAAACTGATCTTCTGTAAAAAAAAAGAAGAAATTATCAATTCCCAACTTGACTCTCACTGGGATTAAACATGACAATAGGTCTGATCTGATTTCATCATCATTTAAAAAATCATCTATTATTTTTCACTTTATGTTTGTGTGGGAGCAAACTGTTGAAATCTTTACTTAATGTATGCTAAACTGATCTTCTGTATATAAAGAGAATCGAAAATGAATCCTCATGTGAATGGAAGGGGAGAGGGAGTGGGAAAGGGGAGGGATGCGGGTGGGAGAGACGATATGGGGGGGAAGCCATTGTAATCCATAAGCCGTACTTTGGAAATTTATATTCATTAAATAAAAGTTAAAAAAAATCAAAAAAAATATTGATATTACAACATAACAAGAAAATCCTCTAATTTATAATTTTCCTGTTAGACATATTATTTACAAAATGGCTTAGTTCATTATGAAATATTACTAACCATTAAGATGAAAAGGAGTAAAATACACCTTAATAATAAAATATTTTTTATATCTAAGACAAAGATAGGTTGTTTTTGAAGTCATATTGCTTGGCTTATTTGTTGTCCTCTATATAAGTACTAATTCTCTTACCTTCATCCTTTTCAAAGGATTATTTAGTTCTCTCTGGAAGGAAGCTGCTCTTCCTGAAAGAAAGGTCTGGAAGGCAGCAGCCAACAAGTTTTCATACTTTTCAAGCAGTATTTTATCATCAGGAGGATAAATCCGTCTACAATAAAATCATATAAACCAATTTGGTTTTCAATCTCTATCAAAGCTCAATAGTGAAGGTCAACAGCATAGACAATCCCTGACCCCTACTCCATTTCAGTCCTATTACCAATGGCTAGAAATAAGGATGAAGACAATTATGAGAAATTCATAAATCTTTACCTGTTACCTACACAAATTAAAATGCATCCAGATAATTTTCATTACACAATGCAGCTCCAGAAAGTTTAGCATAAGGCTTTGTTTGGGAAGAAGTAGTTAGAGGGAATGGCACTTGGGATAATGGTAGAAATACAGAACTTAGTAGGAAAGGATAGTTCCAGCGATGAGGGATAATGCAAAAGTTCTTGGCTCAGTGCAGTTACTATAGTATACAAGAACATACACATTACTCCCAAGGAGCTCTAATGAGGGGGTGGAATTTACCACTGGGTAGAAGTAAGGTAGGAGGAATGTTTTCTCATCACCACTGGTGAGGTATTGAAGCCAGAAAACAGCATTCTCATCAGGAGTCAAAGAAACTCTGGGCCTCTATTCCAGGGGTGAGGAATCTTTTCTCTGCCAAGAGCCATATGGATAATTATAACATCATCTGTGGGCCATATAAAATTATCAACTTAAAAATTAGCCTCATACGTGGATTCATTGAATGTGAGACCTGCCTGCAGTTGTCTTGGCACAGTCAGACTAATGATGTCACAGGCCTTGGACAGCTGGCCGGCCCGGTGTTCCCTATCCCTATGATGCAATGGCAGAGCTGGGAAGGGAGGCCATCTTTCAAAGAACACAAGGAGCCCAGGGGTCCCCTTTTGATCCTATCAAAGAGTGATACTGTGAGGGGCTCCAGTTCAGCACAGTTCACACTCCCTTGTATCATCTCATACCCAGATCCTTCCAACATTTTCACTATTTGCCTGGTTCCTGAAGCATCTGAGTTTAAAACAAAGTACGACAACCATTATGAAGTGACAGAAAGAATACTAAGAGACCTGAACCCTGACTTTCTTAAAATCCCACACTCTAAGCAAACACCATCACAGGAAAATAGCCGTGTAAAAAGATCTACAAACACATCAGAGTCAGCCAGAAGGAGCTGTCTCATGGCTGGACTAGACTTGGTGACCACCTTTTCTTTCTTGAAAGATATGCAAAAAAGCACATCCTCAGAATGAAAGAACACTGCTTAAACTAAGCCCAAGAGTTTAAAAACATACAGAACGACTGCTTTGACACTGCGCTTCTTCCATCCATCCATACGTCATAGTTACCTATAATTCCCCATATGGCGATTTTCATGTTCTTCTCTTGAGACCTGCTTTCGTACTTGCGCAAGTCTTTCTTTCTAGAAATGAGGAAATTTACAAGTGAAATCTGAAAAATACATCATACAATTCAAATTGTGTTTACTTTTTGAACATTAGCATACCAATTCCTCCTTCCGCCTCTCCAACTGGTGTCTCTGCTGTTCCCAGTCTGAGGAACCTGGTAAGAGCCTTTTTATGGAATTTTGACCATAAAGCCTCCTTTGAGCCTCAGCTTTTTGTTTAGCCAAGTTTCTCCTTTTATCACTGGTCCTAAAATAAACAACACAAGACCATATTCCAGAATTCAAACCAGATGCAGTGCAGACAGGAATCCATGCTTATTATTAGATTTATAGATTCCCATACAATATGTTTGTCAAACCATCCATCAAATATGGGTCTCTGTATGTTAAATACAAGGCATGAAGATAACAATATGAAATGGAAATGGTATATGATCTGAAGAATTAGAGACCCTGAGTTTAATAATCCATCCTAGCAACTTTACTAGCCAAATAATTGTAGAGGAGTCAGTTCACTGCTGTGTCTGTTTCCTTATCTAGCAGATGTTAGCAGTAATGTTTTTCTCCTAAAGTTATAAAGATTAATTTGTGGGCTAGCATTATGGTGCAATAGTTTAAGCTGTCGCCTGCAACACCAGCTCCCACATCGGAGCACTGGTTTGAGTCCTGGCTGCTCTGCTTCTGATCCAGTCTCCTGACAGTGTGCCTGGGAAAGCAGCGGAAGGCCCAAATACTTGGACCCCTGCCCCTATGTGGGAGACCCAGATGGAGTTCCAGGCTCCTGGCTTCAGCCTGGCCCAGCCCCGATCATCACAGCCATCTGGGGAGTGAACCAATGGAAGGAAGATCTTTTTCTTTCTGTCACTGCCTCTGTCACTCTGCCTTTCAAATACATTTTTTTAAAAAACCTTTAAAAACCAAAGATTAATTTGTGGCAACATCAATAGATACTAAATATATTCTGGTTCTACTCTCCCCCTTCAACCAGTTTCATTTATATTTAAATATTTATTGATAGTGACCACTCATTAGTACATCTTAACTGGAATCTCAGCCTATCAACATCTATGTGAAAACATCTACACAGCCCTTCTCATTTTTCTTAACAATCCTGAAAATTTCGTTATAACACCCTGATTTATATAGGAAAAGTCCTGTTGTGGGATTGTTTTCCTGTGAGCCCCTTTTGTCTCTCTTACCCCCCTACATAGGTGATGCGATAAGGAAGCCTAAAGTCTCTCCTCCCTCCAACTGCTACTCTTATGAAAAGATCACCAATTACAACCTCAGCCATAGTGAGCAGAAAAAGAGTTCTTATCATTGAGGTTACAATTCCATACCTTTCAATGACATTACTTTGGTATAGCCTAGATAAGGATAAAACCAAAGAAAAGGGGACACAATGGCCATGTGGCCAGCTTCTAGTGTAGTGATGTAAAATAAGCATTGTGTTTACAAATGGCCCCATTCAATTAAATGGGAGATTGCACTGAGAGTACATGAGACAGCCTGAGACAGTATTCCTTTGCCTCCAGTGTATACCTACCACCGTCATAACTTGAACTTGCAACAGTGTTATGAAACTATTCTATTCTCTTTCAAGACACCACTGAGATCTGAGTGGCAGGAGTTTAACTGGTGGTCAGGGCTAATGAAATAATTTGAGGAAAAACATAAAGACATCCAGAAAATTGCAAGTCATTCAGTATGCCTGGTGCCATGAGGGAATAGAAGGATCCCAGCTAATCATGAAGGGCTTGAATAACAGGCTATCCCTCAAATTTAACTTTATGTAATGGAGAAGGACATGAATTTTAAAAAGTGCATAATTATATTTCCGTATGTTAAAGATTATGCCCTTGACAATATGTACAGTAGCTTAGAGGTAGATGCTCAAATGAGATGCTATTTCTTTAGCAAATATGAAGGATGAGGACAGGGACCAGGGAAGCAGTAATGGGGTTAGAGAAAGAGTATGAGTTTAGAATGGTGTTTTTGAGGATGAACGGATATTCTTTGAAGCCTAATTAGATGTAAGAAATAAGAAAAGTGATGAATTTGTGATGACAGCAAGATTGCCAATTTTGGTGACTGGGTGACAGAGAATATAATTTTACCAATGATGAATACAAATTTGGCTTTGAGCTTCCTCAGTTAAGGAAAAAGGAAATGCTAGGATTTAAGTAGCTCTCCGTTGTTTTTTTTTTTAAAGATTTATTTTGTTTATTTGAAAGACAGAGTTACAGAGAGAGGTAGAGACAGAAAGAGAGGTCTTCCATCTGCTGGTTTACTCCCCAGATGGCCGCAAAGGCCAGAGCTGCGCCAATCCGAAGCCAGGAGCCAGGAGATTCCTCCAAGTCTCCCACGCAGCTGCAGGGGCCCAAGGACTTGGGCCATCCTCCACTGATATCCCAGGCCATAGCAGAGAGCTGGATAAGAAGAGGAGCAGCCAGGACCAGAACCAGCGCCCATATGGGATGCCGGCGCTTCAGGCCAGGGCATTAACCCACCGGCCGGCCCCACCTATATGCTAAAACTAGTTTTTCTTAGGGTAAAATTGGTAAGGCTAGGGTCAATGGGAAATTATGTTGACTGATTTCTTGAGGCATCAAAAAGAGAATGATAAATTAGCCTCATTACAAGGAGTTCAAGAATAATTTTTGAGATTGTGAAAGAAATTAAAAGAGCAACAGAGGCTGCCAGAAAAAACCCAATCGCCCTTGAGCCTTCATATCCACTTATTCTACCCACAGCTCTTCCCTATCTTTTCTTCTTTGAATTACCTCCAGCTCTGGATCTCAAGTTTTCTCCTCCCCCTCTACCTGGAACTTTAACTATAATTAATGAAAAGAAAGAAAACACAGAGAAAGGAATGAATGTTGTAACCACTCATTTTACAACCAAACTCACTACAGTGGTGACCAATGTACTATGTACGCTCCCTTGACAAAAACAGAATCAAAAGCCTTAGTATCAGCCAATCCAAGACCCATTAGAATTTGCAAAAGAATTTCAAATTAATCCCAGTACCTAGGACTCTGGGTAATCTGATTTATACCAATTAGTTCAATTACTGGAATCAGGGAGTAAACCTGAAGAATTGTTTAGATGAGCAGAGTGGAAGAAACTACTCAATGACTTTGATAAAACAGATGCTGATGCCTGGAACACTCATAAGGAGATTAGGATGTATTGAGTATACGGCTGCCCAAAGTTTGAGTCACAGATTGGGTTAAGATGCACAGCATAAGGTTAAGACCTGATGAACCTCTCCCTGATCTTCATATTTGTTTTGAAAGGACTTGTGAACAACACTCCAGGATTCCCCCTGAAATTTTTAAAAATCACAAAAATGACAACCTTCTATATTCTGGCTTCACAGAAGTGTTTGCTAAAGAAACTAATCTCCAAATTAAAAAAAATAATGTAACCTAGGTATGTCTTCCCACTGACGGTCTAGTGACTCTAGCTGACCAACTGTCCTAGACTGCAACTGAAAAGGGGAAAAACAACCTCCAAAATCATGAGCTTGCAACTAAAACATCTAAGTTCCCAGTGAGCTTCCAAGAGATGAAGACATCAAAGACCACAGACTAAGCCCTGGGCACTTGGTGTATTGAAAATCAACTCAGTGAAGAACTCCTTACAGCTTCAATGCAAATGACCCTATCAAGTATTCCTGACCGCCTCCTGCACCACCAAACTGAAGGGAGTCAACTCTTGAATACATGGTTTAAATCTCAAGCATGTACCTGAATCAACACATAAAACCAAAGCAGACTTCTGAAGCCATCGATAAAACTTGTCTGCATTTATGGAAAATGACCCAAACAGATGAACTCTGATGACTCCAAAATTTGCTTTGCTTTTGACCTATATTCTTATATTTTTATATCCACTGATCCTGTTCATCTATTAAAGATCATGATTGGGATCTTTGGCATTATCCTTGGAATAAGTTCTTACTTGGTTGTGATAATGATTAGAGTTGTATTTAAATTTTACCATATAAGCATTAGTAGACTCCCTTTAATTAATCCTCTCTAAGACACCACCCTTTCTTCTCCATGGTTTAATCCCAACAGAAATAGCCTGGCCTGAAGAAAAGTTAAAAATAAAATACCTGGGCAGGTGTTGTGGTGCAGTGGGGTAAGCCATGGATTGTGATGCCTGCATCCCATATCGTAGTGCCCAGTTTGAGACCCACCTCTGTCTCTGCTTCCAATTCAGCTTCCTCTTAATGTGCCTGGGAGGCAGCTGTTGATGGCCCAAGTACTTGGGTTTCTACCACCCATATGGGAGACCTGGAGGAAGTTCCTAGGTCTTGACTGCATCCTGTAACTGTAGCAGTCATTTGAGGAATAACTAGCAGATGGAAAATCCCTCCCTCTAGATCTCCCTTTCTATCTCTGTCATTCTATCTTTCAAATAAATATTTTTTAAAAAATACGAAACCAAGACTTGATAACAATAAGCTCTATCACAAGATCCAATAATTGACTATGATAAAGAAGACAAATACATGTTGGAGTTAGTAAAAGAACACAACAATGTTTGTAAGAAAAATTTTCATTGATTAGGATACATGTTACCCTCTGATTCAGTGTATCTTATCTAGGACATATTCTTTTTATAGTCATTCTTGTTCTCCTGTCATTTATTGCTAATGAGTTGCTTGCAAATGTTGGTCAAGATGCTGTAGATGTCAACAGATCCAAGTAAAAGCCCAGATAATAACAGCACAATTAGATATGATCCAGGATATTATTTAATTATAGCTTTACTAGTCTGAAATCACTGCTACATCACCATTGAGAGACCTTCTGGGAATGAGCCTTCTCAGCTATATGGGATCATATTGGTGGTTTGCCTACATATGCACAAACTAGTGATAGGTGGCCAAGAGGGCAAACTGAGAACAAACTGCCTCTAGAAAGCTTGCAAAGCCTTCAAGAGAGCCATCTCCTGAGAACCGTCTGAGAAGTATGTGGACACTGGGTTATTAAGAGTATCCACCATGTCGATCTGACTTGTGTAATGTACACATAGGATGTTTTGTTTTAGTTATTCAGAGCAACCTTTTTTTTTTTTTAAACAGGCAGAGTGGACAGTGAAAGAGAGAGACAGAGAGAAAGGTCTTCCTTTTGTCCTTGGTTCACCCTCTAATGGCTGCTGCGGTCAGCACACTGCGGCTGGCGCACCGCACTGATGTGAAGGCAGGAGCCAGGTGTTTATCCTGGTCTCCCA